CCCTATGGAGCAGGGATGATCCTGTGGGTGGGACCCTCAGCAACCTGGTCTGGTGGGTGGCTTCCCTGCACAAGCCAAAGGGGTTGGAACTAGACGGGTTTTAAAGCCCCTTCCAGCCCAAGCCTCTCTGTGATTCTAACAATTCACGACTCTGGAGATGGAAAACACAGCACATTTTCCCTGGGCAGGTCCCCCTGCCCCCATATCCCCCTCTCTCCCAGCCCATCTGCAGACCCTTCCAGGGGGGCAGACAGACAGCGGGCACTTCGCACCTCCCCACCATAAACCTGCCCACAGCAATTATCCAGCCCCATTCCAGCTGGGAACACATTGCTGTTTCATTTAGAGCCAGAGCTACAGGGCAGCTGGCCCCAGCTCTGCACCGAGAGAAGCAGAGACCCTCCACCAGCAGAGGAAATGCAAACACAGGGGGCTCACCCTGCCTGCCCCCCTGCCTCTACCCATCTTAAAAATTAATCCCGATTGTAAAAGCTGGAGCGCAGCCTGTGTTTCAGGCTGAATAATAAGGCGAGGCCTTTATAAATAAGGAATCACTGTTCAGAGGGAGGGGAAATTATAAAGGTTATTTAAATTAAACACAAGCCACACAAACAAATAAACCTCACTGTCTTTCCCCCCCCCAGCCCCACGCTGGCTGCCTGCTCTGCACATGTTATCTGCAAACCGCAGGGAAAACCGTGCCCTGCTCTGTCCACGCTGTTTCACAATCTGCTCGCTCTGAACCTTACACCAGGCCAGGAATTAAACAAACATTTCCTCCTTCCCCGGGATTTCCCCCAGCCCCATCCAGAGCTCGGCTCCCAAGTGCAGCGGGCACGGGACTGATTGAGTTCCGAGAGGTCAGCGCGCCCCTCACACCTCCCACAGCCCCCAAAAAGCACCCGAGGGGTGGCTGGGGCTGGTGATGGAGCACTCAATGCCCTAGCACTGGGAAAAGCAGCAGGAAAGCTGGGGTGGGCAGGTGTCCATTGGATCCTCCCACAAAAAACTGCCCAAAAAAACAGGAGAGGGTCTCTGTCAGACCCATCCCAATGCTCCACTAAGGGAGAATAAAGGCACCAAAGCCACCAAATCTCCCCATTCCTCATCATCAGTGGGGGGAACTTGTTTGTAGCTATGCTCAGAAAGGAACAAGGCCATGGATGTCTGTCCTCTTCCCCAGTAAGTTTAAAATTGGAATAAGACTGGGCTGGGAAGGGTAAGGGAGCTCCTGGCAGGCTGCAGGACCAGGGGCAGGCAAGGGAGGGAGAGCAGCCAGCACAAATCCTTTGCCCTTGGATGGTCTGGGCTCATCACCACAGAAAAGAGGAGCCCCCCACCCTCCCAAAATACACAACAGACAGCCAAGGTGGGAATGGAGGGCAATAATAACACATCCAGAGATAACAGGAACACTCTGCAGAAGTCAAAACCTTAGCCCTGGAGACACAAATCCTCAGAAAACCGGACTTCTTGTGCCCATCTTCATGCATATCACTGAGGTTACAAGTAACTGCAGCAGAAAAATTCTATGAGAAGTTTTCTCTTAATTTGCCATGTTACCAAACAGGTTTGTGTTACAAATTTGGAGTTTATCTTCCTTGGAAAACTCTGGTCATAGCAGGGAACCAGCAATGATTTAAACCAAGGGGCTAAACACTGGGGAAAAGTCAGGTTGGCTGAATTTTTGTGTGGTTGCTGCTATTTAATGGCAATGCCTCATTAAAATGTGGGATAAAGGAAGCTTTTGTTAATGACCTCCTCTTTCCCTCCCTCACGTACCTTCCCCTCAGGGTTTTGAGATCACATATAAAACACATCCCCAAGCTCCTCAAGGGATTTCTTTTTTTTTCCCAGCAAAGCTAAGGCTGACAAGACTTGACATTCCTGAAATGTTTAAATGAGGAAAGAGAGAAACAACATTTTTTCAAACCCACTTTATGCATCAGAGACAAGCAAAAATTGGCCCAGGGCCAAAAGAAACCCAAAAAAAATGTCAAAAATATTTGCAAGATCATCTTAAATACTCCCAATGTTCCTGACAGAAAAGTCCCCAGCTGCACAGTGGACCCACGCTGAATACTGCACATTCCTGGAGGGAGCTGTGGAGCAGGGAGACAGAATCCACAAGCTGCCAGTCTGTTCCCAGCACTCCACGGGGACAGTACCACCACCAGCATCACCCACAGCAGAGCCTGAGGAGCCTGGCAGGGACCAGCCTCCCCCTTCCAGCAGGTGGGGAGCTCAAAAAAAAACCCCAAAACCCACATCCCCGGGGCTTGGTAATGAGCTTGGGATTTGGAAACCAGGCTAATGAAGAGGTAAGAGCCAAGATATCCGATTTCTGCCAAATACCAGGAAAAGCACACTGCTATCAGTAGCCATTATATTAATTAATTCGTACACCAGCCTATTTTGTAGCTTTTTCCAGGCTGGGATTTCACTTTCCCGATGCTGCGGGACAGAACTGGGCAAGGGAAAGGGTGCAGATGGAGCTCTACAGCTTGCAATAAAACCACTGAAGGTGATAGAAACCAGATGTGGATGGTAACCCCATGTGTTCCGAGAGGTGTTACAGCTCCATACGTCAGACACAGCACGTCAAACACCGCAGAGCAAGCACCCACAGGGCTAAAATACACTCAGGAGTAGTGAGCATTCCGAGGGGTGCAGAATGGGTTAACAGGAACCCACTGAGCTCCACTGGCCAATTATCCTTCCTTGGTTTACTAGCACAGAAATTTGGGCATCAAAGAGGACCACAGTGTTCCACTTGTGGAGTAAACTCCTTTCACCAACATCACTTCACACTTTCTAGAGTGCAAAGTTCGTGCTGATATTGTTGGCTTTCTTGCTCCCTGCTTTTTTGGCACCATCCCTCCTTCTTGGCTGCTCATTAATATGCAATCAGTACATTAAAGGCTTCATTCCACAGGCCCAGCCAGGCTGCAACAGCCTTTTCCAGCAAGTGCTGTCTTGTGCAGGACAGATGTGCAAATGCATTTAGGTGCTCCCAAACAGTCAAAATTAAAACCCAAAGCCCTGCATTCCCACCAATTGTTGTTTTACAGAACAAGGAATTATCACCATCAGTGCCAAGAGTGTCCAGATAAAACCTGGAAGTGATATTGAATTTACACTCATTATGCTTCACTCCTCCATGCACTGCTTACACTACTGATGTTCTGCACCATTTCCAGACTGACTGATCGTAGCTTCATGGCAAAGGCTGCCTGGACACACTTGGCAGTGAGAAAGTTTCCAGCATTTGCATTTGAATGATGAATCGCTGGGATGCTGTGAAGAGTCTTCCAAAAAGCACCACCTGTTTTTTCAGCTACCCGCTAATCTTGCAGATCTGAGCAGGAAGCAGGACAGCCCTACCTCATTTACCATCACTGTGGCTACATGGAAAACCATGTCACCATAGATCAAAATAATTCCTGCTCTTTTGGGAGCGTTTTCTGAAGGGCTCTGCTCCCCACATGCCTCACTCCTACCAGCAGCTCCATCACTGAGCAACGCTCATTTCAACCAGGAATCCAACACAGCTCAAGTTCCCCTGTAGTTCTCTACAAAAATAACCCATCAGCTGCTCGATAACAAGCTCCTCAATTAAACACCTTGTATTTCCTTCACAGCCTCCTCTTCTCCTGCCCTTGCGCCTGACTGTTTCAGCCTCTGGTCCAGCCCATCCCCTCCTGGCCCACCCAGCATCACCTCCTGCCCTGCTGTCCAAACAGGCACAGAAAACCCATCCCAGCCTCCCATAATAGATTTTTAAATCCTGTCTTATTTTTCTTCCCTAGGAGACTAAACATAGGCTCTTAGCTCAATATAAAACTAAGTACATGCTCAAAACAGATCAAACAGTTTAATTGCAAGGAGTACCAGAAAAAGCTCTCTGGTCATTTTAAGCCACACTAATAAGTTTTTGTCCCAGTTTTTCAAGAGTTGCTTATTATGGAGATGAGCCCAACTGGAAAATCAAAATCAAGAATCCCTGAACTCTGCAGGAAGGCTTATCTGAGTTTGGGGCCATATCTGCACTGAATGCAGCACAGCCAAATAACATTTTTCCATTATTTTTTATCACTATTGTTTCGTGTTCTCCCCCGTGAGCACAAAGTCACATCAAAATTTCTCCAGACAGCCCCCAGTCACAAAAATTGTTAGAAGTCTGGATTTACATCAGTGGGATTACAGGAGAACAGACAAATGTGCACATGCTGGATGGAAAGGGGACAACACAGCACTTTCAAACTGAAGAGTATTTTTCATTTATAAATAGTTTACATTTTTTGGATCCAGGGGCGGACAACCCGCTCAGTCTGTACTGAAACCAAAGAAATATCATGTGTGAGCACTAACCACAGTGTAGCAAAGATAATAAACAACAGACAGGCAGCCATATGCAATGAGACTGGTGTTTTTTGGTAGGGGAGACAAATTGAAAAGAGAAGAAATACCAAATCCAGCAGCCTAATCACAACTAAAGGACCTATTAAGCTCCAGAGGGATCCTTTTGTCCAAATTTGGCTGCAGAAGTAACCTCCAGCAGGGACCCAGCTCCCTGCACCCCACTGCACTAAGGCTTTTAGGTCTCAGCCCATCATCCTGGCACAAGGGAATGCCAAACCCAGGTATCTGCAGCAAGGAGGGACTAAATGATGTCCAGGTGGTCACAGCAGGCAGGTGCATAACATAGCATGGAGTGGCACATGATTCTGGGGCAGTGCTCTGGGTTAATGTACAGAAGCACAGTTAAAATTCTGACCCAAGACAGACCTGGTGCGCTCCTCTAAATTTATACAGGAAATAACTACCAGAAACAGGAACCTAAAACACACTGTGCACCTTGCAAACAGGTACTGTGTTTGCAAATGTAATCTTACGGGGAATGAAAACAACAGCTTGTACTCAGCACCAGGCAAGCAAGGGCTGCTACGGGCAAAGGTTTGCTGGGCTCCTTTGGAAGTCTCCAGCCTCCTGGACCTCACCATGAGAACTGAGCTGGACTGCAAACCTCCTACACCAGCCTCTGCTTTCTCAGCAAATAAAGCTGAAATGAGCGCCGACATCGTATTAGCCATGCTTCTACAAATGTTTTTGATATTACGTTAGACAATATCCTTATATCCTGCAGAAGAGATGAGTCGTAAAAGGAAGTGGGACAACTCTGCTTGCCAAGCTCAGAAACCTGGACTTGGAGCATCTCTGTTGAAATCAGCCTGCCAAGACCATTTTGATGTGTTTTATTACTGCAAGGAATTCCACAAATATGCTGGCAACTTTTGAGCATCAGTGTGGGTTCCTAGGTAGGAAAAAACCTCCTTAAAAATGCACATTATCTGGATTTTGCAAACATTTACCAGATGTAAATTCATGGGCAATTCATCTGCCATGACAAGTGTGTAGACATCAAATCTAGCTGAAGAGACTGAGCACCCACCTCTGTCGTGAGTGAAAGTCAACAGCCAGATATGCCTGGCTGAACAAAGGTTTGTTTTCAATTATATTTCAAATTCTTCTAACAATAACTGTGTGGCGTCTGGCACCAACACATCTGAGCCTTTGAAGTGTTTTTTTTTTGACTTTGACCGGAAAAAGGGGGAGGGCAAAAAAGGGAATCAATCAGCAATTTCAGTCTGAGTCAAACCTCTTCTCTGAAGAGATGTTTCATACCTCAACCCCCCCAGAACCATGAATGTGCTCACAAAAACAACAACAAGAAAACTAAACAAAACCTATACTTGGGCCAAAACAGCAGTGGGTCTGCTCTGGGGTTTCCCTTTTAGGAACAAGGTTATGTGATACACAAGTCAGTGGTTCCAGACACAGGAGTCTCCCTGCCTCCCAATCCCCTTCCTGACCACTCAGAGTCATGCCTCTAATGAAGAGCTCATGGCAAGAAACATCCAGTGCATGAACCCAGTGTTTGGAGCATTCATAACAGAGCACAACAGCAACAGGGGTGCAGCAGAGCACACACACCCCTGGATCACCTCAAGAAGAACATTCAGAGAAGAACATTCCTAGGAGCCTTAAGCAGGTTTGCAGTGCCTTCAGGTACAGGAGTTGCCATACACCCTTATTTCCCTTTCTTTTAACTCTACTTTTAAGCATCTAAACACCTTTTCAGATTTAAATGACACTAAGAACACTGGGGAAGTCAGCGCAAGAACAAGGAAAACATCAGTTTTAAAATCTGTATCTTTTTTATCTGGTTTATTCAAATAAGTGCTGCTGTGGTTTAAGAACAACAAGGTGGCAGAGTGCAGCAGCTCTCAAGACTGGGAATGGTGGTTTTGGTCAGAATGATGCTAATTTAGAAGGATAAAAAACCTTATTCGTTTTTCCTAAGCCATGCCTAGGTCCTACCAACTCTTTCTTAGGTCAGACAGTTTCTGGAGAAACATTTTCTGGCTCAAAACATTTGCAGAATTTCAAGAATTTGTTCCACAAATTTTGAGGCTGCTTTGTTCAGGAATGCTTGACATGTGGGCAAAGGGAAACCAAAACTTTCCTTGAATACTGCAGAAAGCTTTAAACCGTGCCCAAGATGAAAAATTCAAGAGTCAAAACTCTGAAGGAAGTGTGGGTTTTCTGTTGCTTTTCAAATATTACCCTAAACCCATTCTTCCAGGAGGGGAACATGTCTGTGCCAGGACAGCCTGCATGCCTAGCAAGGCTGATGGGCTCCATGTGCTCCCCTCAAAGCAGGGCTGGAGTTAGGAACGAATAAATAAAACAGACTTCCAGATCAAGTTTTCTTGGCCTTTACAGAGATGATCATGCTGTGAAAAAGCTCTGGGAAGAAAGTCTCTTCTCTCAGACAGGAGATGCACTTATATGTTGATGCCCCCCTATCCACAAGCACCAAAGAGGAATTCTGCATTTCAAACCTAAAAAGCAGGAAAAGCATCAAAAGGCTTTTCAGTTATGACAGACCATACCCTCCCCAAAATATTTCAATGCACGTTTTCAATTCACACTCAATCTCACGAGGGCTGTTGCTGTTATTGTCTATCACACAGCCATGTTCAGGAAACTGACTTCCCAGAGGATTGGAAATTTCCCTGACAGCTCAGGGAACCTGCAGGGATGGGAGGGTAGGTAGGTGGTGGTCCCAAGGGAAATTCGATGAATGATGCACCCTGCAATGGCAAGAGAGACTGTTTTATAACCAGCAGTCAGAATTACTCAGGAAACCACAGAGGAAGCAATTGGAACTTTTTGGACAGGGAAACTTCCCCATTTTGCTTCTAAATGCACAGACCTGTAAGTCTGTGCTGAATTCCTCTTCTTTTAACCACTCATCTCACAAACAAAGCAACATTAATCAACACAGCCCCAAAAGTGTTCAGCTGCCACCTCGTCCTTCCCCAAAACAGTGGATTTGTGGTTTGTGACTTGAAAAAAAAGTCATCTATGACAAGCCTAGACTGCTTAAAGGTGCACAGCCTGTTCCCAGCAAGCTCCACGATGGCATTACAACTTGGACACGGGGTGCTTCGAGCCCTGCCTTTGGGCTGGCTCGAGTATTCCCAGCTGGAGAGAGAAGCAAACAAAGTAAACAGCAGGACACAGAGCCAGGGCAGCCTGAGCACACCATGCTCATCACACACCACAGCTGCCAGAGGGACAGTCACTGAGCACTGGCTGGGCACAGGGACACGCAGGGAATGTGCTGGGAAAAGCCTCTGCAGCCCGAATAAAGGAGAGCCTGGGAGACACACAGAGGATGCAGCACAGTCCCAGTGTCCCTGCCAGCTGAAAGGACAGCCCAGGCTCCTGTCAAGCAGACCACAAAGAGCTAACACTTGAGACAAGTGCTAGAACTGTGAGAGAATACTGTAGTAAACAGCCTGGGCTGTGATTTGGCATCTCCCAAGGATGCTGCCCAGCTGCATGGCTCTGCCTTCTCCCCACAGGGCTGTAAATCCCAGACCCTTGAGTGGCCAGCGAGGGCAGGAGCCCCAGGCAGCAGTCCCTTCCCTTCCCCAGTGCTGCTAGAGGGATGCAGACACCCAGGGCTATTCCTTCTCACCCACTGCTGACAGCCCCATGCCCAGCAGGCCCTGAAGGCACCTTCTTCCTGGAAATTCTGCTTCAAGAGGAGCAGCAAGTCACCAAAACCAATGGAGGCCATAGCAGTCACAAGAGCTCACTGCTCTGGCTGAGATGCTCCTCCACTGCACTGGTGACATCACTTTAGACACAGAGGAAACATGCTGGTCCCCAAAGAGGCCAGGATTTGGGTGCTTTCTCCATGCCATGGATGTCCTGTTCACAGGAACAACGCAAGGGGTAACCCAGCACCAAATCCTCTGGTCCTGCCTATGGACATCAGACACTGGATATCAGATATTATCAGATATTAACACCAGCACCATTCCAGCAAGACTCTGAACACCTCCTTCACCAACCTCATAACAGAGGTAAGCACAGCCCTGTCTCACAGCTGGGGCTCTGTTATCCACTTCTGCAGGGATGAAATAGCACTGCTGTCTCCCACAGAGATTCTTTGATTTCTCATACAGGATAATCTCACGCTGCTTCCCTTCCCTCCGTGGGGATACAGCCACTCTCCTCAGCCTGCTGCCCATGGGAGAGGCAGGCATTCCAAATTTGAGTTCACCTCTTAAAGTGAAATTGGCCAACAGCATCAAAAGCTCCAGGGAAGGAGAACAGACAGAGGGACCATTGCACAACCTCCTTTCTCAGGAAACCTGGGTAAACAGCAGTACCTGCCTCAGATCACTGCACCAGGGAGGAGCAAATCCAACTGTTGTTTTAAGTAGACAGTGTAAGCCAAACATATCCTATTAGATCTGTACAAATTTCTGTCTAGGGAGATTAACTCAAAGACCAGTACATGTCTCTGCTGGTAAGGTCAGCAAGGATGAAACCAGAGCTCCTGGAAGAGCTTCAGCTCACCAAGGAGGCAGAAGCCAAGCAACTTCACTGGGGAGGAGCTGGACTCAGCCTCACAGAGATAAACAGAGGCTTTTGCTGAAACTGCAGGAGCTGAAGGAGTCCCACTGCATCCCTGTGGGCTGGAGGGACAGGCTGCCAGCTCCTTGTCCAGCAGGCAAAACAAGTGACAACTCTGGATAAAAGTGCTCCGAGATCAGGAGTGAAGCATCCGCTCTGCAGATCTCCTCCCAAACCAGACAACTTCTCCTTGCCCACTCACACAGCAAAGGTGGAGTCTGCCTAGATACCCATTTTAATATTATTTTCTAACCTACAGTAAAAGAAAAAGTTTATTTATCCACTCTTATGAACAGAGTCATTCAACCCCCTTAATTTAATCAACCTCAACAGCTTTTGGGTGTTAATAACAAAGCTTTGCTCCATAACAAAGCTTGGCAAGTGGGAGAGGAGATATACAAGAGGTTTACAACCACGTAAAATAATAAAGATGGCACAACTCTAACAAATCCTTCCAATTCAGAGAAGTCTAAAAAAAAACAACCAAAAAACACTATCCTTTATTCGCTGACTTACATCCAAAATGTACTCAAAAAGAATCCAAAGGTGTTTGAAAGCCAGGAATTCTGTCTTGGAGGACTTGTTTAAGGAGGAAAAAGAATGAACAGAGTTGTTTACAGACCAACAGACAGGAAGAGCACAAAAATACACTTAGCAAAGAAAAAGCACAAACTATTATGACACCTTTCAAAATAAAACATCACATGGTTTGTTTAAATCTCCTAAAACAGGAGAAGTCTCCCCATATTGCCAAAACAAATGAAATACAAGTGTGGATGGGACTCTGCCACAGTTCAGAAGGGGACAAAGGTTTACAGTGAGTTACATGCACAAACAGAGCACGGGATGCTCTCCTGGCTCCCAGCAAGGCCAGACCACAGGCAGCAAAACCTGCAGCACCAGCCAACTGCCCTGTGTCACAGCCCCTGGCATTTCTGCCATCACCAGGCAGGTGGGTGAGCGATGAACTGGGCATGAGAGAAGTAGAACATCCAGGATCAACATATACCTCCTCACCCTTTGCAAGTGACAGGCTGCAAAATCTCCTGAGAGAGGAAGAAATCCCATGGCCCCATGCACCTTC